CTCTTCCTTATCCTTGCCGGCACCGACGTCCTGCCTTTTCTTCATTCTCTCAGCCACGTGAGACACGCTGGACCTCTTGCGGCGATGAACTACCGGCTCGTCGGGCACCTCGTGTCCTTCTTGAGAGACCTCCGTCTCAACCACAGATTCACTTACCGGCGTCATTATCTGCCGTAGTGGCTCTACTTCCAAAGGCGGGACATCGGTAACTGCTGGCTCGCTCGCGATAGCCGGCGCCGGTTCTACCCTGGTTGATGATGGTTCACCAACAGCACTCTGAGGTCGGTTGGGATTTTTCTTCCATGCCTTGAGAAGATTCAAACGTCCGGCCATTTCGGTTGATCGAAGATTCTTGTTCTTTCCGACTTTGTTTTTCAAATCCCAATTCGGATTGCGTCTCCGATGCTCTTCGGCTTCTATGGGATCTCCGAAACCGAAGTATCCCAGCAATGGGTAATAAACTGTTGCAGTAAGCTTAAAGTTAGAATGATGTCGTTAAATACGAGGAATGATGCGAAATGAACGAAACAAGTGGAGAAGATTACCTGGTAAGAATGAAGAATTAAGTACCCCAGGCGACAATCCAGCCAACTCTAAGCGAGAATCCTTCACAAGTCGTTGATATCGGCATTTGTTGGCAGACACCTCAAACAACTTGTCTACTCGATCGTACAGTAGACCTTCAAACTTCGGCTCTTTCTTCCCAGTCGGTTTTGCTACAAGGTCACAAAAGTCCACCTGTTAGCGACAACAAAAAACAAGATATTAATAACCGAAGTGAAGAAAATGAAAAACAACTTACAATAACCAGATTTAGTGGCCATTGGGATGCTTATCCCATCGGCAAGGAGATCATTAGCGAAGTCGGGGCACTGCCAGTCTCCCCCGACCCATAACCATTCCTCTTGGAACCCATGAAGAGTGTCCGGGACCTCCATTATTAGCTCACCAACTTTAACCCTTGGCTGCGGCTTCCCGACAATTGAGAAGGTGAGAAGCGGATCCGACACTTGTCTATCCGGACTCTTTCGGAATGTGAACATGCTCCTCATGTCCTTGGCCGACGGCAGATCCCATTTTTTCTCAGCAAAAAGCACTAACAACCCGATGATTCG